AGGTTAGGTTAGGTTAGGTTGGGTTATGTTAGGTTAGGTTACGTTAGGTTAGGTTATGTTAGGTTGGGTTAGGTTAGGTTAGGTTAGGTTGAGTTATGTTAGGTTAGGTTAGTTTAGTTTTGTTTTGTTTTGTTTGATGTCGTGAGAAGTGCTAGAAATGGTAGCAGTTTCATAACTTATTATTAGCAAACACTTACAGCATATTTGGGCTACTCTTTGATTGACAGATCTAGAGTAGATTTAGCTTCTCTGTCAGGAGTCCAGACGTTTATAACGAAAACTTAAAATTAACGAAATTCCTAGTAGAGGCAGGGATTTTAGCTTCACGACGTCCAGAATTTTTCTGGGGCCCACTCAGCCTCCAGCTGAATAGACAGTGGTGAATTTTTCCCACAGGTAATGCATCCCACTTCCTTATTGAACTCTGTCCAATAAGGAAAATTGAAAATTTAATTATTTTTGGTTGTGATAACAGATGCCCCAGATAAAGTGCTTTGGCGTTGTCATTTATTTGAGAAATGAAATAACTTTGCGTTTGAAAGTAAGGAAAACATTCTGAGTTATGTTTTTTCGCACTTGAGGTTTGTCATTTTATTTGTAAAGCATTACATAAAAATTTTTGCAACTGGTTTAAAAAGTTACAAAATTTAAATTTAAAAATTGGGATGCCCATCATATTTGGGAAAATATGGTAATACGTATTTACCCGTAACCTGAGGCTGTTGAAACACTGAAACGTCGGTGATTTTAAAGGAAGTGCATCTGGATTCTACAGTGCGTGTGTTAACACGTAGTTAAGAAAATGTAAATTTTATTTGCTGTGTGGACGCGTGGGCCTTTTTTGTCATCATGGTGTGATGGAATTGCGTTTTGAGAGTGGCACCTGTCAGTGACTGTACTTCTTTTGATGCTTGGCTCAAAGCTGCTTTGTGCATTATGAAGAAGCCACCAGGAAGAGGCGAGGATTACGCGACGACGAGCAGGTGATGAGAGGTCCTTGAGGTAGAGTCGGTGTACAAAGAGAAGGTTAGAAAGGAGGAGGGAAGGAGAACATGGGCTTGAAGGGAAGAGGAAAGAACGTGAAATAAGAAAATTAAGGAAAAGCGAGGAAAATGAAGGATGAAAATGGATATTACGAAAGAAGGAGATGGAGAAATGACGGACGAAAGAGGGAAAATTAAGATAAATGTTGAAACGAAGAGTATAGAAGGGAAAGTGTGATAACGCTGATAGTCGCCAAGCACGCAGTAAAATGGGGCGGTGGCAGGTTTCAGCTGTTCCTAAATCAGGGCTTTTTCGCAGTGTCTGTTACGTTAAGCGGTGGTGATGGTAGGTCCTTATTCCGCTTTATTGGGATATTTTATCACTTAGTATCTTCATTCTCTTATCCTTCAATTTCTTTGTACACGTTTCTGCTCTGTAAAGTTCGTGCACTCTGAACAGACATGAATTTTGTTTGAATTCTTGAGACATGGTACAACTGCATTTGAATTGCACTCTCTGTTAATAACTTCACAATGATTTATTTGCTTTTTTATCATAAAATATTAACCCGTTACAACACAATGGTAACTATGTATACCACCTTCTTTAACATTAAAAAACTCTATATTTTTCCCACACACTGTATTTACGTGTTTCGTATGATTCTCACTCTAAACAGCGATTATTTCCTTAAACAGCGTTAACCAGTTGATCTTTGTAATGGTGAAGTGTAGTGTTTTCTTCGCGGTACGGACTGAATTCTTAAATATTACTTAACATGATTTTAATACCTCAGAGGGCGAAGTACAAGTTTAAATGCAAAATTTGTGATGATACCTTTAAATTAAGTGAAGGTATTTTTAATTTTTGAGACATAGTATAATTTTAAAATTGTCGCATTTTTGTTCATGTATTTGTTTTTAAGTTTGTACGAATTGTTACTAAAAATAATTCGAATTTATAAAATTTCTAACTTGGAACGGAATATTATGTAAGAAAAATGAATATAGAACAATACAAGTGTGCAGTGTAGTTAAAGCTATTACAGGGCGCTGCAACCGCAGTACATGAGGAAGTGTAAACAGGTAGTTTACCAAGGAACATGACCTGCTTTTTAGCCATAATGTTAACGGTACCAGGTATTATTTTTCAGCTTGAAGAGTGAAGAGTCTTTTGTTCATCGTAGCAAGACCGTCCTGAATCGATCTGAGGTAAGCCACTGATATTTATTTATGTTTTTCAATTTCCCGAACAATGATGAGGGCTTCTTTGTGTTTTTGTTGTGTTATGTGTGTAAATCACTTGCATTAGATTTCCGAATTGTGCGTCTCTCTGAGAACAGGTGCTGGGACGAGACCAATTCGCCACAAAAGAAACTACAAGCGTATCAAAAATTTCCTTACACGGATCTAATGTCCCCCTCCTCCGGTCCATCAATAAAAATTCGGTTTGGGCAAGGGGAAACTGTAAACTTACACAATACAATTTTTTTTATAAGTAATGTTATTAAACTGCGAAGCGTTATGGACGATAACCTGCTTTCCGTCGGTTGTTTACCTGTTACACCGAAACATTTGAACAAATTAGACATTGTTTTGATTTCGGAAACCAGCGATTTTATTACTTTCCTCTTTCTTTCTTTCTTTCTTTCTTTCTTTCTCTTTATATACTTCCGCGTTTTTCACCTCCTGCAGAATTTTATATGACCGTTTACAGTATTTTGTCAAGTACAGTTCAGTGTAGGATTTCAAGTTCTCACGGCAACGCGAGTACTCATCGCCCCGATTATGGAGGCAGCAGGTACCTCTGAAACGTTGATAAAATTCTAGTAGACTACACGGCTTTACAACCCAGAAGGCAATCATGTAATTAAAAGTTGTGAATAGGTACTAAGACGTGAAGGCGTATGGAGAAGTGGAGATAAAGAGTGACCCCACTGCCTCTGCAAAATTTCTACTCAATCCTTATTTGTCTGCTAGAGCCATCTGGAGAGACAAGGATGAGAAAACAGGCCACTGTATTTTGCTTAAGAAACATTTTGGATGGTTCTTTTACGTGTCTTAAATTGGAATTTGTGCTATGAATTTGTATTACCTTCAAAAATAGATCTCGGCCGGGTTTTAAACCCGCGAACCCTAGAACTGTGGGTCCAGGGGCGAGCACACTGACCAGCAGTCCACCGACACCGAGCGCGACACAGTATATTTTCTCCGTTCTCATTACGTCATCAGGTAGTCTGTAGTGAGCCCCGCAAAGAGTATAACTCGTAGGATCTCGATTCTCGAATCGAATTCTGACGATTGCGATAAACCGGAAATACGTCATCAAATGACGTATCTGTCTTTGTTTGTGTGTCGCACGGATAACCTAGTCTGAGTTATCTTGTGATTTTGCTTCTGTGGATGAAAGTGATGTGGATTTAGTGCTACAAATTGTGAAACAATAGTAATTGCCGTGTGTTATAATAGTTTGATTTATGAAAACATTGTAATATACTAAATGCAGTGTGGTAATTCAGTTTGATGGAGACGCTGGCAGGTTGCTCTGTGGAACCCAATGGCTGGACGTGGGCTTGCTTGAGGTAAAGCTGAGTCATGG